AGGAAGCTGATTTCGGCCGCTTGTATCCGCAATCTCGTTCTTTTGGTCACGACCCAAAGCTCGTGACCACAGGTGAGGGTTGGGACGTAGATGGACTGGTAGATCGAGAGCTTTGCCTTGCGGCTCAGCTCTCTCTTCACCACGACGGTCTGGTACAGCGCCCACATTACTGCTGACGCCACACCGAGCCACCTGTCCATCTCACGCTCCATTTTCCCATCACTCGTGAACAAGATTCCGAGATACTTAAACTCCCTCCTTTGAGGAAGCAACTCCCCCCCACCCGGAGGTGTCAATCCACCGGTTTCCAGCAGAGAACCATGGCCTCGGACTTGGAGGTACTGATCCGCATCCCTGCCGCTTTGCACTCGGCTGCAAACCGCTCCAGTGAGTGCTGAAGGTCACGGTCTGATGAACAGTACCACGTCGTCTGCAAAAAGCAGAGGCGAGATCCTGTCGGCGACGATCATTTTCATTGTTGATTAATCTTGAGATAATTTTCTTGATCAAAATGGTGCAAAATGTCAGTCAGTGGTTTTCTCAAATGTCTTGTTTTGTCCATAATACAGAGATAATCAGTTTACTGTGATAGAGGAGTAAAAAAAAAACAGAAAATATTCAAATTCCAGAAGCTGAAATCAAAGAAATTAATCTTTTTTCCTTAAATAATTGATTATCAATATAGTTGGAGAATAATTTAGCAGTTATCAATTACTGCGGCAGCTCTAATTGATTGATATGATCCCCATTTATTTACCCGTTTACGATCCATTACTTACTCTTCATTCCCATTCATAGACAACAAAGGTGGACTTCAGTGACATTGTCTCCTGAGACAAGAAAACAAGCACATGGCTTCATGAAGGGAAGAAAGACACATGTCTAGAGCTGCCTCGGTTTGTTTTAAATTTTAAAATGAAGGTAAGGTGAGCTCATGTTTTGTTTCGTCCTGTAATTTCCCAAGTCTATTCACTTAATAATGCGACAGTGTGATACCGTTTTCGTGGCAGAAAAACAAAATAATAGCTACCGACTGTCCAGGAATAATGCCGTTTCTGTGCTGTTGAGGATATGAAAAAAAACCCTTATGATGACCCTGTTACTCTGGACTGCTTTAAAGGCTCTCCTGGGCCGAGGGGTGCTGATACTGCAGGGTAGGAGTATGAAGGAAATCAGACAAAAATCAATAAGGACACTACCCACAATCCCCTACCCAATTACACAGGCCTACTGCGAATCAGTTTGCCTCAGCGATTTCACTGCTGGTCTAATTATTGGCATCCCTTCTGTCCCAGGTCTTCTGTTTGCGAGACGCAGAGAAAATGGCCTCATTATATAGTTAGACTTGATTGGTTAGGTTGCTGTTTTAGTCGCCTCGCAGTGACTATAACTAACATGTATAAGCTCTGCGGGGCTGCACGAATAATAAAGGTATCCTCAGGTGTCACAGTACACGTTCACAGTGATTAACACTCAAGGATTTCAAAGCATGCCAGTACTATCAATTAGTTATATCTGTGAAGGTAAGCCATGATGTCGTGTCAGAACATACCAATGTAGACTGTCACATTCATAATGAGTTATATTTACAAAAAAAAAACTGTAGGACTGAAGCAAATGATGTTTTTTTTTCTCAGTTAATTAGCTGACTGTGAATGTCAGAATACAATTGTGTCTCTCTCTTTCAAATTTTTCTATTTTTCCAATTACAGATTCCACAAAAAGCCATTTCAAAATTACTTGTATTCTTGGGCCAGTGGTATGAAATTGAAAGATATTCCATTCACGATCATGTTTCACATAAGATAAAGGAGAGCAGCAAATTAGGAGGCTAGATTTAGAGAATAATTGGTATTTTTGCTTTAAAAAAAAAAAAAATCACATAAGCGGTTTCCTATAAAAATTCTTGCCAATTAATTTTTCTGTCTTCTAATCAACTAATCATTCCAGCTATAAACACTGCTATGACAAAAAAAAAAAAGCGCATTATGTACAAGTTGCACATCAGGTGCTTTGGTGGCGACCCAGTTTCAGGCCCCAGTTGTGATGCTTCTGGCTCAGCTGGGTGCTCCATTGAACACGATAGACAGTCGAAGTCTGCTCTGCTGCTGGGCCGGTTATTTTTGTGTACAGAAATCATTTAGTCGGCTTTTCTACGCAGCTGAGGTGTGATGTTTGGGGTCGTATTTTGATCTATATCCTCAGTTGAATATGGATACTGTACTTGCGAATAAAATAAATTGTTTTTGACCTTCAGTAGCAGCAGTTGTCAAGTTGTTGGATGCTAAAAACTAAATCTTGGTTTATATCTTCATTCATATTGTAAGCTGTATTCTTTTTAATGGATTCAGTCGGTCATGCTGACAGCTCCACATTTCGTTTTCTATTAACATTTTCATTGACTATTAATCTGTTCAGAATGAATTTTGCCCTCAGCATTCTGTTTTGGTTCGCTCACTCGTCTGACCATCGCCGTTAGTCTCCAAAAGTCAAGAGCGTTGAACCCGGTTTCACTTTTTTTTTTTTTTTTATTAATGAAAAGAACATTTGTGCTCGCACAGCTTCTGCCTTCTCTGTTTAGAAAGGAATTAAATTAAAGGCAAAAAGCAATGACAAGAAGGCACGAAGAATCTTTACTTAATCCATTATGAAAGCCGATGCACAGATGAGTCATTCGGCTTTAACTAGAAGTTCATTTTCAAGTATAATAAGACAACAAACAGCACGTCACCGCCTGCATCAATCAAAAAATCAGTAGCAGGGAATGTGGTTTTTCAGCTTAGTGTATTGTTGCAGAGACGAGAGTATTTATTTAGCAAGAATTTAACCTTAATTTTTCCACCTCCAGTCATGTTTTTCAGATTTGTTTTTAAGCTGAAGGATCTTTCGTCATCTTAAAGGACTCGTTATTGTCTATGCAGCCAAATGTCTTAATGACGTCTCTGCTTTTTGTTTTATAAATAATAATACACCAGTGACATTAGTCATAGTTCAAGACCCCATAAACACTGCAAAGCAAGTCCAAACTTGTTGCTGCCTTCTCAATCATCGAATCTAAGGGTGACTAATTCGTTACAGGATGTTGCGACTCAAATAGATGTTCACTTTCTCCATCCCGCAGAATGAAAGCCCTGAGATTATTATGAAAGGTGTGAAACAAGAAAAGAGTCTGATCCTTTATATTCACTTTTAGTTGGGTGTTTCTGCTATTTTCTTGTAGGGATAAATGCAGCGCCTTCATAATCCACCCTTGCTCTTCTTCCTGGGTACATAATGCTTTTGTGCTTGGATCTTTTAAGTGTGCCATTAGACTGCTGGCTCTACTTTTACTTGCTGCATCATATGTGCAGGTTTTGTGAGCTACTTGTCGATCCTTCACCGTTCCATGTGCATCCATTGGATCCATCCTCTGTAAATAAAAAAACAAACTAGAATTTAGCTGTATCTGCACTATACTTCTTTTTAACAATTTATTGATAGGCTTTGAAAAGCACAATTACACTTGTGCGCGCACGTCGGCGTTCATCTGTACACATCAATATGTATTATGTCCGACTCCGTGCTGTCGAGTCAAGCCAGCGAGGATACACAGATGTTTCTGAAGGAGAAAAAAAAAAAAAAAACCTAGCACCAATAATTGATGTTGCTGAAATCTCTGAAACTGACAATGTTGTTTCTGCAGACAGCCAGCGAGAGGAGCGTCGCTGCTGTCATAATTGGGTTGAGACAGATGGTGAGAGAGATGATAGGATGGAGTCTGAAAAGCAGTCAGCTCTCTCCTCTAAAGAATCCATCTTGCGTGTGTCTGTTCGGTCGACGAGCCCGTTTATCAGACATGTGTGACGTTCATCCACTGAACAGTAGCTACCTGTCACTGCTTCCTCTCCGTTTGAATCCGGAACATCAGCGAGGGGACTCTGTACTCCCAGGAACTGTCAAGAAACAATCGTAATCATGAGTGGCTTCGACTGTTGGAGACGCGCCATGAATTTGCCATATTGTGGGGAATGATTTATAGTCTGAAATGCTAATGTAAAGCCCAAGTCTTTGCCACTATGATGCCGTGCGATTACACTGTCTTAAATAATTGTTAAATGGTAAAGGTCAAACCACAGTTAAATGGTCGAATTACATTTTATCGTCTTCATCTGTAAATATTCAACGATATTAAGACATCGCACTGTAGCCGTAATGCGTTTCTGGTGTTGCTCGACGTTTAACATTTGCCAAACGGGTGAAAGTAACAGACGGCGGCCGTGCATGAGCGGAATAACAAAAACATGGCGTATGAAAGGTTAATGAGTGCCGAGAAGTGGAGTGGTCTTTGTCATGTGAGACTTCTGAAGGAGTGAGGCGTGTACGGGAGGACGGACAAAGGCGGCGCGAAATGTGGAGGCTGAACGTTCAAGATTGTAGGGATCTAAAATGTGTTGCATGTGCGGAAGAAAAGGGTTTATTTCAGTTCAAGGATGGAGCAGTGAGGTTCCCACATACCAAACCCAAGCTTTTATACTCGTGATTGACCGGACGCAGACGTGAGGGATTGTGTGCATGTCAGGGCTTGCGTCCTACTGTGATGTTCCTCTGTACATTACTTGTACTTGTGTGTGTGTGTGTGTGTGTGTGTATATATATAAAAGCATATGTTAACAAGTGTTGATGGGCGTCATTATAGCATCGACAGTAATTACTTTGCACCTTCAAAGTTAAATTAGCGCTGACAGTCTTATTGTGTACCCAGTCCTGAGGTCGTACCTTTAGTCAGATGTGTGTTCTAACAAGTTGATCTTGTGCTTCGGTAAATTGCTTCACTTACTAAACACACGACTGCAGTCAATTACTGTAAAGGCACAGTTTGGGTTACAGAGTAATGCGCTCATCTCAGCATGTTAAGCTACAGCCAATTTGTAGTTTGGCATGCAAATCAGCAAATTATCATTTTTTGTGCAAGTAGGTAACACTGATTCGATGTATTACTAACTTTCCGACATCTCTCACAGGAAAGGAGGCTGTGCGCACACCCGTTCCTTGAAATCTACAGAGACAGTCAGATCCAGTTCATGGCCCCCTTGGCTCGGCAGGGAGACTTTTACGTACCTGAAGTCCGGCCGGTAGAGAGGAGGTCTTCAGAACAAGAGGACTCACACAGTGACTCGGACATCTCAGGTGTGTGAACCTTTACGCCCTCCTTTATTAGCACATGTTGGATGTTTTTGTTGTACTTACAGATGTGTAGGAATCAATAAACTACTCAGGGTTAATTAGGTTTAATAATCAGGTTGAGTCAGCTTTATTGTCAGTTTTGCCACATGTACAACATACAGAGAACTGAAATTGCAAAATGAACATAGAAAAAAGTATAAAAGTGTAAAAATAGCAAAATAGAAGAAAGTAGAGTACAGGTATAAACAGGATAAAGACAATAAACATAGAACATAATTCTGACTATAAACAATAAATAGACAATAATAAGCGGTGTGTGCAATTCAAGTTAAAATAATGTTACCGGAAAAAGGATGCTTTTAGAATCCCTAAATAACCATGATTACAATATGATAACAGCTACAGCTCAGACTTCACGTGTAGATTATTTTGCTGAAAGTAAAATCCTCATTCAAGAATAATACATGAACAGGTGAACAATATGAACACTAAAAGGGTTTAAATCTGTGGTTTCTGTGTCATGTAAAGAGGAAATACAGTCATGACTCGATAATCTGATCCTTAACAATCCAAAACCTTGCTATCCAACAGGTCTTTAGGAAAAATGAACGGAACCCATAAAAACAGCCTTAACATAGCGACAGCCTTGGATTCTGACTCCGACATGACATTTTATGTCACCAATCAGGATAGCGGCGTATTATCTGACTGAACGATCCCACAGATTGGCTGAATTCACACTGCAGGACAGATTTTTTTAGGAATTCTGATTTGTTTATGAGTTCGTTCNACATCTCAGGTGTGTGAACCTTTACGCCCTCCTTTATTAGCACATGTTGGATGTTTTTGTTGTACCTGCAGATGTGTAGGAATCAATAAACTACTTAGGATTAATTAGGTTTAATAATCAAGCTCAGTCAGCTTTATTGTCAGTTTTACCACATGTACAACATACAGAGAACTGAAACTGCCGTACTCCAAGGCCCCACGGTGTAAAATGAACATAGAAAAAAAAGTATAAAAATAGCACAAAAGAAAATAGAAAATAGTAGAGTACAGCTATAAACAGGATATAGACAATAAACATAGAACGTAATTCTGACTATAAACAATATTAACAATAAATAGACAATAATAAGCAGTGTGTGCAATTCACGTTAAAATAATGTTATCGGAATTTCAAGAATAGTACATGAACAGGTGAACAATGTGAACACTAAAAGGATTTAAATCTGTGGTTTCTGTGTCATGTAAAGAGGAAATACAGTTGTGACTCGATAATCTGACCCTTAACAATCCTAAACCTTGCTATCCAACAGGTCTTTAGGAAAAATGAACGGAACCCATAAAAACAGCCTTAACATACCGACAGCCTTGGATTCTGACTCCGACATTTTATGTCACCAATCAGGATGACGGCGTATTATCTGACTGAACAATCCCACAGATTGGCTACGTTCACACTGCAGGACTTAATGCTCAATTGGGATTTTTTTGGTGAATTCAGATTTTTTTTACGAGTTCGTTCACATTCACATTTGCAGTTAAATGCAACTTGTATGTGATCTGCTGTGTGAACTTCATACGACCCAAAAGTGTCCCGCATGCGCAGAAGAGGACACGATGACGTCACACGCAGCGAGCGAGCTCAGTGGAAGTAAACACGGATGGTAACGATGGAGCGTAACTGCCACTCCCCCACCACCACCGATGGTGGAAACAGAAGTGTGACCACTAACTAAACTAGCATCAGCAACCAAGTACTGCCTGTGTGTTCCGGCCACTTCCACCCCGTCAGAGTGCTGCCCCGGGGTGGAAGTGTCCCCCGACCTCACTGAATATTCAGATATTCATCATTAATTGGGCCCAAATATCCAGAGAGCAGAAGTGCTATTTGACCAGCCCTACTAGTTATTATAACAACTATGAACAATGAATATTAACAACAAATGAGCCTTCCAGCATCAAGCCCTCCTTGTAAGGTTTTACATTTAGTGTCGGATTATCGAGTCGCGACTGTATTGACGAGCAACAAAGGAATGGTCAATATGTTTTATAGTTTTTAACTGTCTTTGTCAGATCGGAATACTCATTTCGTTCTAACCAAGTGACTCTTTAC